TTTATGCCAGTTGTAAATGACGATGGAACTCTGAAGACAACGTATGAACGATTGATTTGAGAAGCTGCATAGCGATGCGTTACCCAAGGCGTTAATTAAGAGATCGACGTAAAAATGGCGTTCGGCCGAGAACAGCGTCGTGGAATGTTAAAGAAGTCGTGCATGGCTGTACAATTATTGAGACGTTGGGAAAAAGCGTAGCGGCAGCTCAACAGGTGAGTACGGATTGCAAGTGTATCAATGGCGAACAATGGAGATTTGCAAACATGAAACGAATAAGAGCTTGAAGAAGCTTGACTGGCACTGTGAATAATAAGAGAGACGCGCACACATGGAGAAAACGCGAGAGAGGAGAGAAGACGCGCTGCATCGCACGCATACGTACGTAGAGGTAGAGGGAGAGACGCCGGCGCGGAGGGGAGTCGGGAATGGTAATTCCGTGGCGCGCGCGGCGCGGGGCGATATTAATCCAGTTGTTGGCGCTAGTGATCGCTCGCTCGCGCCGGGCCTTGTCGTGTCGTACACGCACGCTCGCCGCGCTCCGTTCTACCGTTCTATCCGACGACTGTCACGCTATCTATGGACTTTCTCCCGTTGACCAGGCCAGTTCCGATCGCTGCCCGTCGAAACCGCGAATAGTTTCTCGATCATTATACACTTTTCGATCTGCACTCGTCCGTCTCTCAATCTCCGTGCGCGTGTGTCTGTCTATGCACGACTGCCACTCAGTCTATTCTATTCCTTCACTTCTCTGACTGCAAGATCCCCTATATATATCCATTGTGTCAGCTGGTGAGTCTTTCGTTACATTACGTACGGCAGTGCTAACCAACGTAGTTTTAATGCGCCGCAAAAACTTAACATCCACGTTTTTTTCCTACAATCATATCGCATACTCTTTTGTTTATTTTTCTTTTATTTTAACCAATATTGGATGTCGTATTCATCGCTGCATTCTTTGACCGCTTACTTGGAAATGAGCGTAAGAAAAGATAAAATACGATCGACTGAATACCGCGGCGAGGCTGATAATAGTGTGTTTGCGCCTACCAAATTCAACGAATGTCAAAAATTGAAAGAGAAAAATTATTTTCCCTTACGTAAATCCGGCTATTATCTTTTACATGTGTTCATACGATCACGACAGTTATTTCCAAGACGTACACAGGCAAACGCATGAACAATTACTCACATTGAAATTGCCCGTGAGATAATTTTGCGGTGATTAAAGTACTTTGTGAAATGTTATTCTTTACATTCCATTTACGCTAGAAAAAGAAGTAGATTAGCAAGATTGATTATGCGCGACAAAGAAGTTTGGCATTAGTTGTAACCTAACATTTTCTTTGAGTATGTATACTTTCAATGACTGCAGGTGTAAAAGTTTATCGTCTATGCTGCATAATGGCGAATAGCAATATTTCATCCTTAGCAATGTCCCAGCTACACAATTTAACATGCTGACCTTTTTGCGCACACGCTGTAGCTTTATAATTTACCGTACAGATGAGCTACATTTAATCTTGATAATTTATATCAATTATCGAATTGGAAAGCGCTCATCTGCATGTTGAATCGCTTCTAGAAAACACAGATTCAAGCTCATTAGAGAAGCACCATTCACTGCTCATTAGAGATTCGCATCATTATTTCGAAACGAATTTGTTGTTTAGCGCTCGGCATCATGTTTCGTAAGGCTAGATGTACAAAATACATTAGCAGTGAAGGCGCGCGCTGCATATTGACCGGGAAAATCTAGTGTAACGAATGAGATGTGAAGCCCAACAAAATTTGTCCAAAACGTGTGAGCGAACAAAAACAGAAAAATCCATCAGCGGTATTTGGCGAACAAGGCCCAAAACAGAACAAGATACAGTCAGTCACGCGGCTGACTGTACGGCTTGTTGCCATATAGTTATATACTTAAAACGCTTGACTGCAGATCCGAGAGTATATATAGTAATACTTGATGTCTGTTTGCGCGAGCGGTTGTGGCGCGATTATAAGCGAAGCAAGCAAGGTTACTTCGTTTGCAACTACATGTACAAAGTCTGTTGCTGTATACGATTTAACTCGCTATACTTGAATTTTCCTTGATTTTTACCAACTACGAGTGGTCGTATACCAACGGATAAGTTTACCCTCGTTCAGTTCGTACACGTCACCCGTAAAATTACGCCGTTCCATACAAATTCATCTGCTCCTACGCGTAAGCTTTTATTTAATTTCGCGCAAAGTTATTTCTCTTTAGAACTGAGTGTAGAAATTAGTTTTGATTAGTCGTCGCCGCTTCCGCACGTTCAACTTCTCCAATGCAATCGCTTCACATGTTTCCTCCCAAGTTTAATTTCACATTTTATAATTGCTCATTAAAATGTCTTTCTTTGTTCTTTCGTGATAAACTTCACGACACTTTGAAAGCTTTGTACCATTTTCCATCCAAAAGTCAACTTTCAGCTGCCGAGTGTTTAATTGCGCACAGGTTATTGTAGTTTTATTTTGCTATATTCGAATTTGTAAATCATCTGTGGAGTTGTCGTCGAGTGACACAAAGTTTACGCAACTTACGATAATCAATTAAAATTTGCAACGAAGTGCTTTCGACGGGAATACTCCGACGGTGTATACAAAAATAGCCGCAAGCATAGACAGAACTAAATATTTTATCCAATAAATTAGTTGTCGATCAAAATAAGTGTCATGTAAATACATTAGAACTTGCAAACGGAAAAACTCTGAACGATCGATCAAAGCAAGCCTATATGTATCGGGTGGCAGATCAGAATGTACGACCGGTTTCGAAACACGCAGTACGCCTGCTGCCTCATTGAATAATGAGTTAATATAATCCGATCCGAATGATACAAGCGTTAAATCTCCAGGCGCTTTTCGATGGATTATAAATTGACAGAAGAGCAGAAATAGACGGACACACGTTCACATTTTACGAGGATCAAACAATAGTAGGCTTGGAAAAACAAGCAGAGAAGAAAACGAAAACTAAATAAAGTACACTTTGTGCAGACAGACGAGATATGATTTTGCCAAATTAATCCGTGGAGCGCAGAATTAATAAGGCCAGCACTTTGTAGGGAATCTGTGGTGCAATAAAAAATATAGCGCAGAAAGAGAGAGAGAGAGCGGAATCGATCGGCGCAAGCTTCATCGCGGGCCTGCAATGCCGGTGTGCGGCGGACGGCGGTTGAAGGTATCGAGCCTGGGGCTATCAGCTCTCCGTAAAGCGCGAAAGCAATCTGCAACGGCAGCAATTTCGCATGCACAAGTGTCTCTGTTTGCAGGGCTGCGGCCGCACAGAAAACAGACTACACGGCCTCGGGTGCTAGCAGTGAGCTTGGGCGCTGCTAATTGTCCGAGGCAGACCAGCTGCTCGAGTCTTAGCTCGTCTTCATCGTCGCCGTCATCGTCGTCGTCGTCGTCGTCGTCGTCGCCGCGTCGCGTCGCCTTTATCGATTCGCCCCGACGACTCGTGCGATTGTGCGATACTTAATGCACCACTTGCTCACGTTGGCCCCGCCGTGTGTGTGTGCCGCGAGCCGCGCTCCGAATAGCGCTGCAGCACGCGCCAGCCGACTTTTCTACTTTGCGCGACCTTCCAGCACGACCCCTTTCTTCCTACTTGTCGCGCGAGCAACCGAGCCGCGACTGCTTTCTCACGCGCACGCACGCGCTCTTTCAGGGGCAGTGCACTCTATCGGCCAAATCTACGTGCGCACCTTAAATGCAATGCACACCGAAGCTATCCGTTTGTGCAAAAACCAATGTGTGCACATAAGCCACGCCTTTGTCACGTGAAGATCGTTAGCAGATGTCTATATATACTTGTAACCCTGTCGTCTCCAAGCCAGGCTGCGCTTTTTCCAAAATTTGACTTGTAGAAATTAACCGCTGCAACTTGATTCAAGTGGTTTACACTTTTTCACTGTACGCATGACGATTGAAATGTTTAGCCTTTGTCGCATAGCTTGTTTTCAATTCAAAGTTTTCGGTTGACAGTGCGACAAATGAATCGTTCACGGGTACCGCGTTCTTACTATTGTGTAAGCGGACACTGCCTCTTACTTGAAAACAGTTATAGAATACCAAGTTGGTGCGAAAACAACTCTATCGTTTTCAAATTCAAGCAAATACTTTAAATCGCAATTCGTAAGTATAGTCTCCGGTTAGTTACAAAAACACCTTTAATCCTTTGAAATTAATACAGCGGAAGGTTGTTAAAGCCAAAAAGTACGTTTGATTACGCAAACATTTTTACGCATGACTCATGGAAATGAGTTTGTTCGCGAAAGACAATATTTCCGCCAGTTTTTGAAGAAAAATAAGAAATATGAAAGAGAAATTTCTGGTTACTTTCCATAAGTGCAGCGCTAAGCAGCGATCCTTCGTACGCTCAACAATAAGAAGCTCGTGACGGCCAAGGGTCATAGCTAAAACATAGAGACGGACGTATGCTTAGAGAGAGAAGGTTCAACAGGCAGGCATTCGCGGTGACCACGTTTCGATAAGTCAACACATTAATTATCAAAAAGCTTTCATACACTCAGTGTTCACATTATACAGTTCTATAATAAGTTCACGCGATCACAAATATATCGTCTCTGGTAATTTATTAATAAAAAGTGTGTACTACAAATGTTCGTTTCTATGGCATCTTTATGTACCACTCATTTCTCGAGCGGTATATCAATATACATTAAAAGCGATGAAAGCTTATGAAAAATTAATGAGATCATCGTGAAAGAAACGAGGACACTCGTTGGCTGATGATGCTATAAATTTTTAACGATGTAAGAGGAAAATTCAAAAAGCTTCTTGGAAGGTAGAGGAGGGAATGAGGGAAGGAGGGAGGGAGGAAGGGAGGAGAAGCGGGCTTGATAAGGCTTATATTTTAATATGCAAACAATGCGTCGAGAGGGGATGGGTCGCCCTCGAATCGGTACGTTGGCATGTTGTTAAGCTCGATTTTCTCGTTAACTTTTCAGCGGCAGGAAGTGACTGCGGCTCATCACGGGAGAAATAAGGCCGGATGCAGCGGCACCGGAGCAAGAGTAGCAGCAGCTTTCTCGAGGGACGGAAATTGTGTTGATCCTCGAGTGGTGGCTCACACCGCCAAAGTCTCGATCCACTTCTCCGGTTTGCCTTAATCTTTTTATACGCTCTCGCGCGATCGACAAACAAAACACGGACAGCCAGCAGCGGACAGCTCTCGGATCACCCTACTCTGGCACAATGAATTTGCGAACATTCGTCAGAAATTTCAAGGTGAGATACGTCCTCCTGTACGCTTTCCTTCTCTGCCGATCATAGCGAGCTCGACGTTTAAACTCGTTGACGCTCGTTGGTATTTCGACAGTCTTGAAGCACATCAAGTTCCATTACAGATTTGCATGTCAAAGCTTACGCGCGAAAAGTCAATGCCAATCGATGTTTATTTCACGTCAGCAATGTATTCTTTTTATTTTTACCACTAATTATGTTTATCGTAGTTCTTGCGGCACGTCGAAAAATAAATGGAGGGAATATTAGTCGGCAATGGAGGTCGGAAACACGTCGTTTTTCTACACATACATATATAAGATGCTTGTCGAAAAAGCAGCGACGGTGGAGAATTCAGTAGCGTGTTTACTTACTTTGATTGACGTACATACATATCCGCGAGTTGAACGTCGACTGGGCGAAAAATAGACGCAACAAGAACGCCGGACTGAAATTCCAAATGTAACCGTGCCAAGCAGCAGTGCATCTGCATTTAAGGACGATCGTTTTCTTAAATGGAAATGGTGACGCTCGGCTTAACGAGAAAGGCAGGAGACAAAATGAAAGTACGCCTTATTTTTCAAAATAACGAGAGCGAAGCCTGAAGCATTTGCATTAGCAGCCGGCTGCCAGAACGTCGTTATGCTCTTCAAGTTTTTCCCTTTGTTGTCTTGCCTCTCGGTTTTTGCTGTCCGCAGGCCCGGTGGCGGTAGCAGTGATTTTGCTCGTTTTCGCGCGGGCCCGTGAGCCAACCAACGAGTGGCCGCGACCAGTCTATTTGCCGTCGCCGCCACGCTACGTCGGCTCCTATTAATCGTCCGCGGGCTTCTCAATGTCCACTTGATTTTTCTGCCTGTGTTGATTTTTTTCCGCTCGGATGCGAGACCCGCATGGTAACTGTACGATTATGCAGTTACCATGCGAGTAAATAGAGCAGTTTCGCGGCGGCTGCAGTGCGCGGCTTGCGATAAGCTCGCGGTAGGCCCGGTTGCTGTGTGCGTAGTGTGATGCTCGCAACGTAGCGTTTGTTTGAGTTAGCGTCACGAGCTCTGCAACCATTCAGCAGCTGATCGCTTCATATTCCCGGATTTTTCTCTGACTCTCCGAATAATTTCCTCGCTACATTATCAATCCTTTGGGTTTAGTCGTTCGGAAGAATAAATCGAGAAGGCAGACGATATCACGAAGAAACATTGAGGTCGATAATTCTGCGAAACTGTGAAACTGTGAAACTGTGAAACTGTGAAACTGTGACGAACAACCGGACGGGGTTCGTATTAAAGCTTTGTTATAAATTTGACCGTAGACATGCAATTTTCCGAAAGGTTGCTTTTTCGAATTTGCGGAGTGAGTTGCAATGGAAATTGATAGTCCGTTAGTTATCGACAAGTACTGGGAATATCAGGACTCTGTCTGATTTAGCCAATGCGCTAACGGACTGGGAAGGGAGAGCAGAGAGGGAAAGAATCGGCCGGTCCTGGCGTCAGAGACGTGCATGTACCGCGGGGACGGACGAACGGAAGAAAGATGCAGGTATATTATCCGCAGCACGCGGGAGGAGGGGTGAGCTTTCGGTGGGGGGAGGGGGGCTATTGCACACTTATCGATTACACAATTGGAAGAAGCGAGCGAGAGGCACGCGGGGCAACGCCTGATTTTACGACTTCGGCCCCGTCGAGCTTCCGAGCTGCTGCCAGCGTGCGGTCGATCGATCCGTCGCCCCCGCGTGCGCGCGCCAAATCCCTTTCTCTTTCCCTTCCCATCCCGCTTCGCCTACCCATTCGCATGCCTCTTTTTTGAATCTTCGGCGTCTCGCGCGCTGCAGCGCGATCGTCTCGTCAATGGCCCCGGCCTCGAGCAATATTTACCGTGATTCGCTCTCGAAAGGAGAATCCGCTGTCCGCCGACGTCGCCAGATCGATCGCCGAATCATTCGAACGTGCGACTCGGACGTGACTCCATTTGATGCGTCGAAAAGTACGAATGAACAACGGTGGCATCGGATCGGAGCGAACGCTAGCCAGAGCGCTGCTCGGGGCTTGGGTCACTGGTTGGGACTGCAGGGGCGCATTGGTCGCTCGACGCGCTTGCACGGCGAGGAACGCTGACGCCAGTGAATGCTGCAGAGCGGCCGCGAGTGGCCGAGGGTCGAGCCGAGCTGCGAGCAGGACGGGCGCCCGCGAGCGGCGTCACCGAGGCAGAGCAGCGCCAGCGAGGAGGTGGCGATGAGGCGCAGCAGGCGGTGGTCGGTGATGTGCGCACGCGAGCAGCCAGCAGCATGCCCGAGCCAGGAGAGCAGCAGCGCGGCGGCTTCAAGCCAGTAAAAAGCAGGCAGTTCTGGGGCATCAGCGGGGCCGCATCGACGGACGCGGACTCGGAGTGCCTCTACGAGGAGATCAGTGGACCGTCGGCCGAGGACTCGGCCTCCTCTGCCTGCGCGGACTCGGCCCAGGCGGCTGCCGCCGCGCAGGCCCAGCAGCGCAGCATCAGGCGCACGCGGAAGCTGGAGCAGCACGCCCCCAGGCCCAAGGCCGACCAGCAGCAGCAGCAGCAGCAGCAGCAGCAGCCTCGTCACCGAGCCCACAGGTAGGCGCGCTCGCGCTCGTCCACTCGTGCGCCTGTCAGCCGGCGTGACCAGCAGCCTCTCCTCGATCGCAGCCAGCAGCATGCGCTGCGCCCCGGCAACTCACTGCGTCAGCAGGCGCACGCAGCAGCAGCAGGCCAGTCGGCGCTCGGCGCGGGTGGCATCGGCGGCCTCGAGTCCCGCCAGAGCCAAGCCAGCAGCTTCAAGCTGACGAGGGGACGCTTCTCGGCGGCGCGCTACCTGCAGACCACCACTACCACCACCACCACCACCCACTACCAGCAGCCCACCTCGACTCCCGGCTTCGCCGCCTCCAACCTGCCGGCGCCGCCGCTCTACCACTCGGCCTCGCGCCTGCACCGGCACGGCGTGCGGCCCGCCACTCGCCACCACTTCGGTCTGCGCGGCTCCTTCGGTAATGAGACGCAGGAAGAGGTACCGGAGGAAGACGAGGCCACTCTCAGGGAGCTGCTCATAAGGTCAGCTCGCCCCCGGTTTCCGGGCCGCGCCGGGCCGCGCCGGCACTGCCGCCACCTCCGTTCGATTTTCGCTTTTAGCGGCGGCCCTCGCTGCCAAGCTAGAAAATTCATTTTTAAATCTGTCCATGCAAAGATCTCTCGATGTCGATCGACTGTGCACAAATAAGCTGACCATGTCTAGGCACACCAAACGACTCTGACACTCGGATACACCTACTCGACCAACGACGCTTTACTTGTCCGATTTCCGTTGCGTTCCACAGCTTATACAATTACACGCTTGCTCGGGCGAGACGCGCGGACGAACCGCACGGGATGCGGGCTGCGGACGTACGCGCACTTCTTTTTACAGACAGACGCGCAGGGGACGCACGCAATGCAACTGTAACAGAGCCACGAGTGAGATCGAGATAAAGCAAACGCAATGGAGAAAGACTCGTGAAGAGAACGACAGTGTAGAGGCTTGTTTGTAACGAAAAGATCGAGAGCGAAACGAGAGATAGAGGCTGGCGAGCGCGAGAGGGCCGCGCGCGCGCGCGCGCGCGACGTGCCCCCGAAGCGCGGGTACCACGTCGAGCGGCCGACGCGGCCCTCTCGGCGGCCGCAAACCTGCATTCGGCATATATCTCTTCTCATTTCTGAATTTCTGCGATGACTGAACCACGACTGTGTTTCCCAAACTAGGTAAATTTGCGAGAGAGCGAGAAAACGAGAGTAAAAGAGAAAGGAGGCAAAAGCGAGAGGATAAGTGTTGAAGAGAGACACAGTGAGAGGAGAGCAGAGCGGGACTAGAAGAGTGCGCGGAACGAGTGCTATAGAAAGATAGTAGCGAATCCGACGCGCGCTATCTCATTCCTTGAGACGCATACACATTTGGCAATGAATCGCAGTGAGGCCTGCCCCGAGGATATCGCGAGTGCATTATATCAAAAGACTGTTTGAAGTGCGCTCGGTCTTTCTCTGTGTCTGTCTCTGCGTGTAGCACATTGACGAGTCGTTGTTTGCCGGACGACAGCCAACACACACGAACGCTCGGACAAAGCGAGAGAAAGAGACAAATTGACGAGAGAGAGAGAGAGAGAGAGAGAGAGAAAGAGAGAGAGAGAGGAACCTCGGGGGGCTACTGTAGTTTCGGATACACAGCCATGGTCTCCCCACTCCCAGGTACATACCGACGTCACCGCTGCTTTTCTCTTTATCTTTTAACTCCCTTATTGCCTTTCGTTATTATTTCGCTTCTTCTTTCCTTCTCGCGGCTTTACTTACCTATCTGGCTTTCCCTTATTGTTCCGTCTGTTGCGAGCCGACTGACTGCGGCGACGTTGCTCTTGCTCTCTCCGTTTCTTCCTGTCGTGTCATTCTGCCGATTTGCAACTCTTCCGCAAGTTCAACGTCGCTGCAGTCCTGCCCTTTCATCTTTCTTCTCTTTATTTTTCTTTATTTTGCATTTATCTAGACATGCTCTTCTGTTGCTATTCAGTTTCATGTTGTCATCTTTCTGTTGTAAATCATACATTGGTTGAGCTTGTACCGAATTCCAATGCTGAATGTCGAATCACCTGTGTTTTTATTTGATGAAACTCTGCTTCGCCGTTGATTAGCCATAGACGAAAAGATAAATAAGAGAATCGGTATGAACTGATCCAACGTTTCAATCTTTCTCTTTCGACGCTGTCATTTGACAATCATGCGCTCATTCATTTCTGCCGCATTTCACCGATTATGAAGACGACCATCTCGCATAAGGCAAGAATATAATAACATTTCTCACCAAATGTCTCACAGATAAACTCACCAAAGTTCATTTTAGCTGTGCACATTGGTCAGCCTTTGAAGCATCCTTCGACTGATGGAATACATCGTCTTATCCTAAAAGCACCGATAAGAAAACTTCCTTGAACGAAGTATTCAGTCATTAGTATACGTCATACGTAGCTTGATCACCACCTTCATCACAACATCTTGTCATTTTTAGCGATCGCTCGATCACTTACCGAAATCGAGAACGGTCAGCCATCACGTAACTGAAGATCTTGTTCGAAAGAAAATCCTCTTGTTCTCACGAGTCTTATAATTAGAACTGTTAGAACTGTTAGAAACTGAAAGAAAGGATAATGAGAGTTTAACGAAGCGCACGAAATTTTCTTAGTCAACAGTTGAAAGCACTTTATTTGACGCATTTCTTGAGTTTGATCAAAGTCAACGAGTACTAACACACGTGAACCGTTGAGTATATGTAAGCGCAAGTTGCAATGGTGATTTTGTCTTAATGTGCACAGCTGCAAAATCACTGATAGCGTTATACTAGCATTCAATATATCTCACCTTACAATCACCATTTACACACATGAATTTAGACATGCTTTCAGTGGCATTCGTATTTTGTCTGTGTTGTCTTTTCTATATCCAGTTAACGTATTGTTACTGTTGAAGTAATAGTAATAAGAAGAATAATTTACGAGTTGCAGCCAAAATAAAAAAAGCGAAAATTTCTTTGAGGCTATACATCGATGATTGGTTATTTGATGCTCTCAATAAAAATGAATTTTCTTAGCGAGAATTTTATTAATTTGGCCGATTGACATTAGTTTTTAGTTGGCAGTCGATGCGAAGCAAGCTCGTTTTACGTTGGCATCGCAATTTCAGTTGAGCTTATTGCTTTTGCTCTCGTAGCTTCGGGGCGAGCGTCGAGACACACGCTCGGCCGGGCAAGCGCTGTCACAAAAGCGAAAGATCAGAGGTGTACAGCCTCAAATGCTTTTCTTTTGCGCGAGGATATACGTATAATACATGCATAACATGAATACACTGGCAAAGAAGGAGAATAAAATTTTTTGCAAATCGCGTGAGCTGCAGTAATGAATGACGGGCTGAATTGAATTGCGGGCTTTGAAAATCACGCAGAATTACGATTGACAAACGATTATGGCTGAAGGCATCGGAGAGAAAGACTGCCGGAAGAGATGGCATTGGCTCGTATCGAGGCTCCACGGACGCGTCAGTGCCATCTTGGAAGAGCAGATGAAGCATTAGTTCATGTAGACTTTCAGTAAAGTAGACCTGACGATCAGAATGTGTAATGAACCAAAACTTGTGTGTTGCAAAGAGAAAAGGTTTGCTTGGGTTTTGCTGGCAAGTAAAGCAAGCGCGAGTAAGGCGAGATAATCGAGCGAGCCAGCCGAATAGGGAGCGCTCAGGGGATCGCACAGATAGACAGACGATAACTAACGTTGGTCGGGGCGCTCGCGATTTGCGCTCTCACTCTTCTGTTCCGTTGCGACGATGCACTACGACGGCGGCTACGGCTACGGTGGCGGCTACGGCGCTGCGCCCGGCGGCATCGGTGGTCTCAACAACAGCCTGCAGAAGCAGGTCAGCGTCATGAGCATGAACCTCAGCGCCAAGCTGGACGACCTGCAGCGCGGCGACCGCCACATCGAAACGACGGTCGCCCTCAGCGAGATTCGCACGCAGCTGCAGGAGCTCACCAAGAGCGTTGAGTCCTGCCAGAGCGAGGTCAGCGAGGTCAAGCGCGACATGGTCGCCATCAAGGTAGACTGTGGCACTTGCCGACCGGCCGCTCTCCCGCGGCGCCGGTTCGACGCCAATTAGTTACAGCTACTAGCTTCCTTTTTCCGCCATTCAGTCTTGCTAATAAAATCGGTAACGTTCTTATGACGACGTTATCGTCGCGCCGATCGACCTAGAAAACTAGAAAACTTGAGTGTGACGTTACCGACTCCAATGCGGTCCCATACTATTTTACCGACCGATTTCGATATTTTCATACCCCAGGCCCCATGCTACTTTATCGGTCTCGTGCCTTCATCACCTTCACATAATCTCATCGATTCTCGATTCAGCTTCTTTATCGACGCTTGCCCCAGCCTCGTACCCGATATCCCATGCTCCCGATCGGTTCGATGAATCAGAGTAACTATCAAAATGTAGTAAGGCCCTGTGCTCCGTGTACTGATCTGTACTGACAGCTATTGCAGTTGTAGATATTATCAAGGTATATCTAGTTAAGTCATGAATACTGACGTTAATTGTGTTTTATACTTGTCACATGTAGAATATAAGCAAATCAGCACTTTACATAAAATATTCGTAAGATTTAATAAAAGAAAATGCAAGAGAATGAGATATCAATATATGCGTGAAAAAATGATAAGCGCGCGATATAAGTGTATAAAAAATATACAAAAAGTATTTTTTTATTGTCAAGAGAATGAACATATAGTTTAAATTACTTCTAGTAAACATCCTTCAAGATATTTTATATTGTACATTTCCTTTGTTCGTCTCTTCAACTAGTGTGTCGTAAGCATTTTGATTTTGAATGAGGCGATTTTTGACTTTTGAAGGAAGAAAGATTTCGAATTCCACTTCTAACTCAATAACAATTTTAGTACCAAATCTGGTCTTGACTTGCTTGATGTCTGTGTGAGTGTACAAGATTTCTGGATCTAAATCTTTTACCCTCTTGATTGATAAATAGCTTAAAGTTTTCGCTGCCGCATTGACAGCTTCCATAATAATTAGAACACACATTTTTGTTGAGTTGATTGAGAGCTATTGGGCTATTGATTGTTCGATAATGTATCGTGTCATTTTTTTTCACTCATAAATGTAGCCCATAATTTTTCTTGTTTGGAGCCAGGTGGTTTTATGTGCTTTGGACAAAATGGAAGATTGTTTTCGTCATGAATTAATGAGGGATAATCGAGGTCAACTTCTAATATATAACCGATTTCAGCATCATCTTCAACTTTTAAAAAGTCGATACTATCAAAGTTTTCCATTCATTGAAAATTATCTCGAGGTAAAACTTGAGTCATCATATATCCATACAAATTATTACAGTTTGAATAGGTGAAGTAGACTTTTTTATTACTATTAAAATTATTCAATCATATATCTATTCTTTACCGCACCACACTCACCCGAACACTCAAATCTTCGTGAATTTCTGACTCTATAAATAAATGCATATCGACATCTATCAAAACTCTTGTATATTTGAGCATTGCATCCCATGAGTATCCTGGTGTTGTATAATAATTTGCTGGATTAAGCCCATAAGCATTGGTCGCGACGATTTTCGAAAACATTAGCAAGCAATAATATATCAGTTTTCATGTACAAATTACAATATTCAAGAGTTTTTCTGTTCAAAGTATTTCACATTTTTAGTGCGACTGTAAACAATATCAGAAATATTTATCTCTAAGCTTACTGAAAAATTCTTTTTTTTTTCAGACAATTGTATTTCCTAAAGTTTATCCCAGGTATCAATATATTCATGAGGAAGTACTTTGTTTCGGATTCATAAATTGATTTTTTCTTGTTCGATATGAAAAACTTCATTGTACAATCTTATAACTTTCTAAATAAGAAGGTAATATACTTGCCGCAACTTATCGATTTAAGTAATGAAGCCATAAATCTAAATGAATCAAGGAATCATAATTTAATTCCAGTGTCTTCAATATACTTTGTAAATGAAATGTACTTTTCTTTCGTCAAAGGTAAAATATATCCAAGTCTCCAGAAAAGTAATTGCATATATATCACGAATGATAAAATGAGCATTATAGCTATTGAGGTTGTGAAAAACTACTGGTATGATTCGTGAGTCTTGATAGTTGAGATTGCAACCTTGGTGTGCACCACTTCGATATTTTTTTGTTAAATGACAGTGATCACGAACTTTTATCGAATCATAGGTTTTTCACAAATATGACATATTTGTTACACTAAAAGGTGTAATTTTCTCTTGCGTAAGATTATCCATTGGTTTTGGATTATCATATATACCTTATACAAAAAAGAGTTATATTTTTTAACTCTTCAACAAATTATTTCGATAGCTTTGATCCTCGATAAAAGTTATATCTTGATAAACTTTCATCGTAACTACATTTCAAATTGTGGGCTGTGCTAAATATTTCATGTCGTTGAAATATAACGGTATATTTATTCATGTCTTGCTCCTCAATAGCTGTTTATTTAATAAACCCTCGCAATCACCGTAGATGATACATGGTGATTTCAATATGAAGTCATGATTCTTAAATTCAATTGCATCTTTACCTTCCTGCAGTATTTTCACACCACACTTATTGTATTATTGTATGTTCACATTTTATTTCATGTTAATGAAGTTGTTTTAATGTAGTGAAATAGTGTAATCATCTATCAAAAATATGTTTTTTATTTTTGTTACGTGACAAGCTACTTTCTACTAATTTTGCATGAACTTGTTATGTAAACATAATAATAATTATTCAAAATATTTCTGTTCACATTGGGGTGACCACTATAATCAATTAATAATAGGTTTAAATGATTTGACCTTTCATTAAAGAGAAACTATTTTTTAGCTAACTATTTGAATAGCACAGATATCGTGCTATTCAATTTTTCAAATTTAGTATTTGATGTAAAGTTATAGGATATGAGAGAGTATCCATAACTAATTTATTCTCATACAAAGTATAATGACTTTGTCTCTGATGATTATCTGCGATTATTTATTCATACAAACCCGCTATAATTACCCACACAAAACATATATTATCATAATTTTGAACATTAGTGCACGCATGCTTATTTCTTACAAACTTTGGTAAAGGTATGTAAGAATTTCCGTTATTACGCATTGGATTAAACTTATTAATATTGATTTAAATATTAATCAAAGAATCTAAAGACCATCTAAACTCATTACTTTCAAACTCTTCGACATCTTTTAATAATGAAGATTGAATATAATCATTAAACCACTGTTTTATAGGATTTGTAACATACATTTAAAAGTTTTATGTATTAAAGTGTTTTGTGCCTAAGGATTTTTCTTACACACGACCTTCAGTACTGCGATACTTCAAAAATTTACATGTAAGTACTGCATTAAGTTTATATGTCTTATGTAGCTTTAAAATATCTTTCATATGTCTAAAGAATAAAGTGCTGGTATCTTTTAATAAAACCCATATCAATGTATTTGATATTGGTTATTAGACTCGTTTTTAAACGATTTTCGAATGCGCTATCTAAATTGATTCATCGTACGTGTCTAATCAAAGTGTAATCCAAACCCTCACTACGGACTTTACGACTATCTAATTACAAATGAATACATTCACTTTTGCCAATAATACCAAGTAATAACTATTTTTGTGATATATGAAACTGTGACTATCTAAAAACTTTTTTAATGTTTGCAAACAGAATACATTGTTTTTCCCATCGTTCGATTATAGTTTCATTGCCTACATCTTTGGAAAAAGTAAGATACACAGCTTCTTAAATAAAGTGAAATTGCTCAAAACAGTGATATAAGATTTTCATTTTTTCGCACATGATAATATCCTAGTGGAAGTGTATAATGGAATGAATTGATTACACTGTCTGAACTGTTTTATATACACTTTATTTGACGTAAAAGAAGACAAATTTTCGATTTAAAATTTCAAAAATCCACTTACTTGATCCTCAGCTCTTTTTGGACGTTTCATTCGTTTGAAATAAAAACTGAATAAATAACTTTTTTTTTAATAATACAACTTTTTCAACTTTCTTTCTGTTTATTAGAAAATTATACAAGTATAAAAAGATAACGTATAAATATAAATTATCAGAATTTAAGCAATAAAAAATATAATATAGTAACTTCAATTCAGTTCACGATATGAAATGAGAATAATTATTTCATGTATTAATATAACTATTGAGTATATAATATTTCATTAATTAATTATTATTAATTAATATAAATTTGTTATTTTATTATTGTTATTTAATATATTAATTATTTAATAAAATGTATTAAATGAAAATTTAATATTAATATATTTTTACAAAATAAATTTTTTAACACAATTGTCAATTAAAAGTTTTATATTTTTATACACTTTATATGTGTGCTATAAATGAATAATTTTTTTACAAATGACAATACTAGCTTTTTGAATACGGTATTGTAATTGAGTGATTATGAGGGAACAAAATTTTAAATCTTGCATGCACTCAAATTTATAAGTTTCAACACCTACAACTTCTTAAAATTCTAAGATATGTGAGGATTAATACAAATAATAACGTGCAGCATGATCGCTGATCGACATCCAATTAACGCCCGTGTTGCGAAACACTCAAACATATAGATTTGTGAACGATGGGAGGAGAAAGTAGAGGGGATATACTTGCACGAGTGCCTCATTCATAACTGTATGCTGCGACGTGATTCATAGGTTGTGGAGAGGGAGGTCACATCGTACGCATTGTAAGACTTAGTCATTAGAGCATGCTATGGATTCTCATGTGTAGTTAGGGACTTAGCCGCATATACGTATTAAACGAAGTGACTTAGTCGCTGCAATGAAAAATGAACTTTAACGCGCTCAAGCTAGTTGATGCTACAGTACTTAGTCATCGCAATGTATAACGAGGGCTTAGAATTTTTCACGTATAAAGAGACATTACCGCAAACACATACTTTCGTAAAGATATAGCTGTAACGCAGTTTGATTAAGTTTTTTTAAGCG